CGCACGAGCTGCGCCTGCGCGCGCTGCTGGAGCAGGTAACGGCCCGGGAGCTTCGGCGCCTGCTCTGAGGAGGGGAAGAGCCCTGGGGGCCGCGGTGAGCGCAGCGCGGTTACCGCCTCCCGCCTTCAAACCACCTGCGCCCTGTTGGGAGCGCCGAGCTGCTCTGTGCTCGGGGGGGACGTGCCGTGGAGTCCTCCAGCGTAGAAAACGTTCTGAGTTTTAATATCGGGGTATGCTAGTTTAACGGTACAGAATATGCGTGGATTTATTGTTTAGTTTTTCTCCGAATACAGGCTCACAAGATTAGATAATGTAAAATACTATAGTAGTATTGCTATATGTGAAAATATGAAAATAGCATTAAGGTATAGAAAATTAGCATTAATACACTACATTAATAGCATTAACATACTACAGCAATGCTCCTCCTTGCAGAAAAGGGTTATATTACCAAAGCAGTTTACACACAGTTGTATTCATTTTTACTTCCCTGAGTCTAGGAATTCACTTTATATTGCTGTTTTTACAAAGGGAAAGTGTCCTGAGGATGGATGGGATGAAAGTACCATTGAGCTGTTTCTTCATGAGCTCGCCATTATGGATAGCAACAACTTCCTGGGCAACTGTGGTGTGGGTGAGAGGGAAGGAAGAGTGGCCTCAGGACTCGTGGCCCGGAGGCATTACAGGTACCAGGCGTCAGCAGTTTGAATCACTATGCTGTTTCGTTATTAATATTTTCAAAACTTTTTTTTATTACATCTTATTAGCTCAAACTTTGGCAGTATTTGAGAAACTGTGTAATGCAATGTTGAGTTGGTACAGCTTTCTGTATTGAAGATCCATTAATAACTCATTGGAAAGTCTTGAAATCTTCTGATACTTGATGGGTGCTTTGTATGCTATAATTCCAGAGGCTCTGAATTTTTTTTTTTAATTAAAGTTTGTAGGTTTTTTTTTTCTTTTTCTTTTTTGCAGTGGTGCTCTGTGCTTGGTATCTTTGCCGATGTCTCATTTAACATGAGTGAAACAAACCTTTCTAAAACAAAAATGCTAAACTAATTTAGGTTAAACAGCTTTCAAGAGTCCCATGGTACCATGAAAAAATAATGCAGAAAAGCACTAATACATGAGTTGTTAGGCTTTTCCATTTTCTGTCCTGTAGACACTGAGATGTGTCTGATAGGGAGGTGGAGGTCACACCATGGAGGAAGTTCTGCTTTCTGGCAGCACTAGACAAGTTGTGTCCAGTTTCTTGGCAGAGTCCCTGGGCTACTATCATTTAGCTACTGCTACTCTGGGGCAACTCACCTGGCACCTCATCTTCACATGTGTCAGCAGTAGCAAGGAAGGGGTTTCTGCTACTCCACTTAACTCCTGAAGCAATATTTACAGGTAAATTAGGGAGTTTTGGGATTCCAGGAAAGAGTTTTCAAGCTTTCTTTCCTTTCTGCTTTATAGATGCCAGAGACTAGTATTAGGAGAATTCCTTAGAAATGGGCTATATGAGAAAGGTGAGAGTGATTTCAGGCTATGGTCAGTAAATATATACAGAAAAGAAAAGGCAGTAGTATGAGGAGGCTGTTAAGAACATAGCAACAGGAATAAGTAAGGAGGGAGTGAGAGTTAGTGCAAGTTTCAGTTAATTATCAACTTACTGTAATTAGCCTGGAACATGAGAAAAGCATTTAAACTGTAAAACTATGCTCCTAGAAGCTCTGAATTCCATCCATTCATCAGACTGCATTTCACTCTGTTCCCAAAACAGAAAGAAATTAAAGCCATAAATAGTTGTTACTAGCTTACTTGAGCAGCTGCTGCGTTTCAGCCAGGGTTAAGATTATTTCTGTAAGATTATATTTTGCAAAGGATTATTATGATCCTTCAATCCTGAAAGGCAGTAATTAATACCAGTGTTTGTAAATGTAGTTTATGGATGTAGAATGCAAGAAGAGGTGGTATTGCACAATACATAATGTTGAATAGTAGTACAAGGTGGATGGTGTGAAGATGTAGAAAAAGATGGGCAAAGTGATATGGTAACAGAAAGGTTTTTGAGGACATTTTGTCACAGTATATGTGGTCACTGTCTCACCCTGTGAAGGTGAAACATTTATCAGAGGAGTATTGCCAACATCATTTGTGTATAGGCAATTGGGGTGTTTTTGCTTGTTTTTTCTTGGGAGTTGTGTGTACAAATGTGGCATCATTTATAATGTTAATTCAGTAGACATTAAGAAGAGCTCAAGAGTTTCAAAGTTTTCTTAAAAGCGAGTCTGCCAGACAGTAGAGGGTTTGTTACACTGGGCACAGTTTCTGTCTGCTTGATAGAGCATTGTTAATCGACTCTTCAGGAAAGAAAAGGTTTCATACTAGTATATGGTAATTTGCTATAATAGAACTCACTCATTATGGTATTTTGATGTTACACTGGGTATAGTATTTCAGGAATTGTTTATCAAACTAATATTTCTTCAGTCAGGAAGAAATGCTGCTTTGGGACATGAAAAATCTTGATGGATATTTTCAACTTTTTCCGTTTAGGTTGATCCATGGAATTGGAAGGTCAGGTGATATTTCTGCTGTCCAGCCTAAGGCTGCAGGGTCTAGCCTTCTGAACAAACTAACTAATTCCATAGTTCTGGATATTTTAAAGCTGGCTGGTAGGTGTAAAGCTAAAAGTCTTTCTCTTTTGTGGGGACTTACCATGTGCTCTTCATTTTAATTTCTGACTTGCTTTTGATGTGCAGGTGTTCGGACGGTGACCAGTTGCTTCGTGGTTCCCATGGCAACTGGAATGAGTCTGACTCTGTGTTTTTTAACGCTGCGACACAAGAGACCAAAGGCAAAATACATTATTTGGCCGCGTATAGACCAGAAATCTTGCTTTAAATCTATGATAACTGCAGGTGAGTGGGAGTTGACTGGGTATACACCGTGCTATACTACTAAATTTAAAACCACAACTCTCAGATTGATCCTTAAGCCACAGGCATGTCTCTCAAATGGAATTCTTTGTCTACCAGACTGTAAGATATGAGCAGAAGTTTATCCTCACACTGAAGCTCCCTTCTCTTGCACAAAGATTCATGGGATCAAGGAAAGGGCAAGTAAGGGAGACCATAATTTTTCAGCTCTGTGCTCTTACCTTGGGCAAAGCATGACATAGATTCTGGGCTTAGTTCCTAGGATACGTGGGAGGTTTTTTTGATTTGTTTTTTGCATAAATCACTTGTTCGATGCAAATGACTAGAAGTTTGGATCCAGATAAAGTGTTCTGTCCATGGTGTTTGAAAGGAATTAGATGGGCAGATACAGCCTGTGTATGTGAGAAAGGTGAGTGTTTTCAAATTGTGCTCAATTTAAAACATCAAGGAAATTAGCTTTATAGTGAAGAAAGATATGATTGATCTGTTTTTTGGAGTGTGGTTTTTTTTTTTTTTTTGGAAAACTTTACCAATTTACTTCTACCACCTCTCTGGATAGCTTGTTGCAGTTCTGAATTCTCCTTGTGATGAAAAAGGCTTTCTTGTGGTCCATTCTGAGCCTCTCGAGTCAAATTTTATGGCTGTTGTATTTTCTTATATCCTACCAAGAAAGATTGTTTCTGTCATCTTTGTAAATCCTCTTCATGTGGCTGAATGCTCTACTAGCTCTTTCTGATTGAACAAGAACAGCCTCTCCTGAACAACTTGAACAAGTCCTAGCCATTGTACATTAGTAATCTTGGTGGCCCTCTGATGGTCTCAACATCCCACTTGAGCTGCAAGTTCCAAAACTGAAGTTGGATTTCAGATGTGCCTTCACTGGTATTTAGAAAAAGGGGATTAGCTCGCCCTCTTCTTTTTTTCAACTTTTCTCAAATATGTCCTTGAGAAATAACTGTTTTTCAGCTGTTATATATAGACTTCTGGAAATGTTAAAATCCAAAGTGTGTGTTTTTTTTTTTTTAATGAAAAATTTCACTTTCAAGATGAGATCAAAAATAGGAATCTTTATTTTACAATAAGTAGTTTGAAAATGGATTAAACAAATAAGACAGGAACTTAATGATGAAAGCTAGTTCATCATGAACATTGCTAGACATTAATCTGTCCATGCTTTTAGAGAACCTGATTATGAGGTTGATCGGTTTTTCAAATTTATATTGGAACCCAAAATACCCACAGTTAGTCTGAGATTTGAGATTACTTTGTGACATACTTAGGAGTCTTGTCTGCATTTGTTAGGTTTTGAGCCTGTGGTGATAGAAAATGTATTGGAAGGTGATGAGCTACGGACAGACATCAAAGCAGTGGAAGCTAAAATCAAAGCTCTTGGTGCTGAAAATATTCTCTGTGTTCATTCTACAACCTCTTGCTTTGCTCCAAGGGTACCTGATAGGTAAGTAGTCTTCATAAGTGTGGTAGTTCTTGCTGCAGTAGCAAACCTGCATGTTTGAGGTTCATCTTCTTAAAACTGCTCAGTTTCTGTCAAAAATTAGTAGAGCAGAGACATTTATCCCTGAATTAAGGGAAATGGTAGCTTGAAATGAAGTCTCACTTGTAGAAAAGAATATTGGGCAACTGAGAACAGTACAGAACATGAAAATGAGAACAGTACAGAAGATACACCTTCTACTGTGTGACAGAGAGATTAGTAATAGATTCTTGGGATGAAATGAATGTTACTATTGCAGTGGTTTGTTTTGTAATTTTTCAGAAGTGGTAAAAGTAAATTTTCATTTACAGAAACATAATCCAGAAAATGCAGTTACACAGTCTATATTAGAGTATGGTACTATATACTATACTAAATAACTATACTATATAGTTATAATACTATAATTTAGTATTGTTTTCTTCTCTTCTTTAGCTCACTGATGAATTTTTCTTGTTGTTTTTAATGTTAGTCTGTGCGTTAAAACAGTTCAGAATGCTACAGCCTACAAAAGGCCTTTTTAGAGCTACGCTTTTCTTGTGTTACACTGATGCTTTTAGAGCTGATTAAGATACACTGATATAAATAAGCTCTTGGAAGCATCTAGGACAGATGTACTGTGCAAGTATAACTGACAATTTGCCCTGGTGTAACTTATCCTGGTTTGAACATTTGCTGCCTGATTGCATGATACTACTTCTAATTTCCAGCTGTTAAATCACCATTAAAAGGCTTAAAATACGTTGCATTCTTTCCTAATACTATGTGTCCATATACATATCTTCTGTAGTTGCTGCAAAGATGTCTTTCAAGCACTAGCTGAAGCAGAGATGAGCAATACAGCCATTCACACAAAATAGAGTTGTTGAAACGTTATTGCTATGAAGCTTACTTTAAAAAAGCTTTCAGACTGAAAATGATATGTTGAAGTAGGGGTGGGCGAAGCACTTGCTTATGTTGAGTCAGTTTTCCAAAATGAGCATCAGATTTTTTTTCTTAATTTATCCCAAAATTTAAAATGCTTACATTTAAAGTTCTTCTGCAGTATATTTTTAGTTATTAATTACTTTGTTATCTGGGAAACATAATTGAACATTTATAAGTATGGAAGAGAAACTTTATTGAATCTGAAACATGTTGAGTAAAGATGTTTCCTTCTGCTTTTCTGCCTCAAATAATAATAATTCAGGATTTAACATGGATTAACCCTATTGCCAAGGGGAAAGTAAAAATAAACAAAAACTTCTGTCAGAATACTATGAACCCTGCTAGGAGTTGAGTTGCAAATTTATTAGCAAACTTAAATCAAAGCTATCAAAATTGAATGGTCTATATCTTCACTTGGGTAAATGAATCCTTTCCTTATCTGTCTCTTCTTTTTGACACACGATTATTTTGTCCTCTGCAGTTGTGCTGTACCACAGGAGGATTTGAATGCACTTCCTATTTAAAGGATACCAGCAACTATAGAAAGCTATAACATAATCCTCCTGTAGGAGGGTAACTCCTATACAGCTCTGTTCTCAAAATCTCTGTATTTTTAAGACTTTAGTTAGCTATGTACTTAATGTACTAATCAAAGAAGTTTCTTTTCTCATTATGATCTTCTTGTAGATCTCTTAGCCTTTTAATGCTCTGATTTGTAACATCTCATAAATATTTGTCTAAATTATAGTTTTGTGTTTGTAGGCTGGAGGAGCTGGCTGTAATTTGTGCTAGTTATGACATTCCCCATATTGTCAACAATGCATATGGCGTTCAGTCTTCAAAGTGCATGCATCTTATCCAGCAGGTGAAAGTATTTTAATCAATATTTTTTAAAAACTATGACTAAATCTCTGATTATATATAACACTAGTACATGTGTTTCACACCTTTGAGATTAATCCTATATAAGTCTGATATTTAAGAACATAGAGCAGAGGGAGGTAGAAATTGAGGAGATAAATTATAAACATAACATTTCTGTATACTAAAACAGATTTTCATTTCCTTCAAAGCATCTTTCATAATGGAAAGATATCATTCATAAGCTTTTTTTTTTTAAATGTTTCATTAATGCATTAACAAAATGAAAATAAGGCACCAATAGGAATATAGTCCTCATTAGAATGTGAGTTATAGATTTTTGTCTGAGAAACAAGATTGTACCTATATAGGTTTTGTCACTGTTATAGGTGTTGTTGCTATAGAGGGTAGCTGAGGATACCGAATTACCTTCAGTGGTTTGTTCAAAAAAGCAAGAGTGTAACAGGAAAGAGCTTCTGGCACAATTTTATTTGCCCTGCTTTTCCTCTGTTGTTCTCAGCTAAATCAAATTCTACCAAAAAGCCAACAAACTCTTAGTGCCTCTTCCCTTCTCCGATTTAGTAAGCGACTTTAACATAGAAACAATAACTCTGTTGTAATGGAATCTGCTTTTTTTTTTTTTTTCCTCTCTCCAATCTTTTTGCCATAAGTGTTCGGTGTGTTTTGTTTCTTGGTATTATGTAGTGTATGTAGTAAGGATGAACTTGCATATGCTTTTCAGGGTCTGTTATGCTGCATACTTAATTGCTCAATACACAGCAGCACATTACTCAAATGGGAGCTGTACTGTAGGATTTGCATTTGTTCCTCTGAGACTATCTGATGAACTATACATGTATTGCCATTTTATTTTCTGGGAGATGGAGAAATCTGCTGTTGGGAAATTATCTGGATCTTCATACTGCAAGCAGCCTGATATGAAGGAGTGCTGTCACAGCCCACTTGTTTTAATGCAAATTCTAAACATGTACCAAGATAAATCGTTTTCTTTTCTGATGAAACATTAAGCTGTAGCCCTTTTACTGTACACATCTGTGAAGTGTTTTGCATTATGGAGTTTTAACTATATAATTTCCCTTAAATTCCATGTGAGGGTTTTTTGTTTGTTTGTGTGTGTGTGTTTTTTTTTTTAATGAATTGCAGTCTGTAGACTTGTAAGAACTAAAATCATTGTCAAGAAATCAGCAAAAGAGGAAATTATAGGGCATTTTGTAGTCAGGCGACAAACAGTAATAAATAAATCAGTTGTGCTAAGAAAAAGTAATGCTCCAATTGTTAGTTTTCATGACAGTACAATATGTCAGTGTGTTTTAGGAATTAGATTTATTTTCTTTATGTTGCTGTGTGATTGCGATGCTATTAAATGCTTTTTGCTAATCTATGCTCTGGGTTTTGTTTGTTTTGGTAAAGGGTGCTCGAGTGGGCAGAATAGATGCATTTATTCAGAGCCTGGACAAGAATTTTATGGTTCCAGTAGGTGGTGCTATCATTGCTGGCTTCAGTGAGTCCTTCATTCAGGAGATCAGCAAAATGTACCCAGGTAAAGAGTTCAGAATGTTTTTTATCTGTGCATTCAGAATAACTGTAAAGAACTTGATTTTTAGCTTTCTTTCATACTATGTTTTTTGGTGAATTTGATCTGTCTGCCTTTTTTTCAGGAAGAGCATCTGCATCTCCTTCTTTAGATGTCCTCATTACACTTCTGTCTCTAGGTACGAGTGGCTACAAGCAGCTACTGAAAGAGAGGAAGGTAAGCAACACTTTCTTGAAGTCATCATTGAACAAAATCTTCCAATTGTGAACCCGTTTTTTTTTTTTGGGGAATCCAATTTCTCTATAGAAAGCTGTGGAATTTCTTCTAAGCTCACAGCTCTTAATCGGGAAAGCTAGTGTCAGCAGTAGTAATTGTTGGCCAAATGGTGCTAGTAAATCATGGCTTTTATGATCTGTTTATATGTATTCCAAACCAGAGAATGAAAGTCCTGTGCTATCTTGCTCATTTTTATTGTTTTTCTATATGACCTAAGTGGATAGAATTTTGCCCGAAGAAGCACAGGAAGTGGAAGCGATGTGCTGTGGTCGCGCTGCTTGCAACACTGGGCTGCACAGCGTGGGTGTCCAGCACAGTCAGAGCTAACACAGGGATCTCTCTGCCACTTCATTTGGCCCTACTGTGTTTGGGTACTGTAGCAGTGTTGTATTCTGTGTTTGTGTACCACTTTCTCTGGAGAATCACAGCTTTTGATTAAGTTATAAGTAACGTGTATGGCTACAAACAGAGAAAGATACCAGATTTTAAGACATTCATTAAGACAGAGCTAGGTTTCTTCCCTGCTTCTCCTAGCTTTCTGCAGTGTTGACTCTAACTGCATTGCACAAATGTTCAAATCGGCTTAGGGCTGGAATCTATGCCTTTGAGTTGCCCTTAATTCTGGTATTTTCCTTATATTAAGAGACCTGATTTTGCTAACTGTATATTTCAACATAGAGCATTCTTTCTGTAAAGAGCTCCAGGTAAGGAGAAGTAGCAAGTGCTATAAATTAATATCTTTGTCATGCATGATCTGTGTATTTTACTTATGAAATACATTCCATTTGTCCCCTGCTGATGGCTCGCTGGGGCCTCTGATTATTTGGTGGGTCAGTAGCGCAGTTTGCTATGACTTATTTCTAGATGCTTGTGCAGGCAACCGGTAATGGTGCTGGATTGGAACTGGAAATTCCCTGGGAGTAGCTAGAGGACAGAAAAACAGTGTAGTTTTACAAAGGCAAAAAAAAAAAAAGTGTTCTATGCAATTAGCATAGTGAAGACATGACTTGCAAAACCCTGAAAGTAGTCATCAGTTTTGGAATAAAGTTTCTAACCTTACTGTATTCTGGGTAGCTGTGTTTGCTGCCATGTGGTTTGTATCTTCATTAAAAGCAAATTGTCTTTTTTTTTCCCTTTTGTCTCCAAAGAATCTCTAGTGAATTTATTGCATCTTCTGCAAAGCTGATTGTGATAGTTAGATTTATACTGCATGCAAATATGTATTGGGCAGTATAAATATTGTCAAGTCATGAATAATAGTTCTTTAGTAAATACAATGTCTTAATGAATAGCTTTGTATTTAAAATTATATGGTTTTATTGGATATAGGATTTTAGTGCAAATAAAACATTATGCTTTCACAACTTCAGGTCTTTATATTTCAAGAGTGAATATGTTCCATAAACACAGCCTTATATATGGCATAAATATGTTTCTTTTATTGGATTTGCTGTAGAAATAGAAACCTTTTTTGCTTAAATGTTTTTTGCTTCCGAACTGTTAAAATATAATAGTGATAGTTTATTGCCTGTGCTCTGTGAAAGCAGAGGCAGAGCTATTATGCTCTCAGCAGGAGCTATTTATAGCTTGACATTGAGTACTCCTTTCTATATTGGTGCAGCTACACCTACTCACACAAAGTCAGCTATAAAAAAAAATACAGGCATTTTTTTCTTTTCTCCTTTTACCTTACTCATATCAGTGTTACTTCAGGTTATTTGAATGCAAACCAGAAAGCCCAGAGTATTACTGCAGAGAGATTAATATCTTGCAACAAAGAAAATAAATAGTATGTCCACTTCTCCTTTACATGGATGGATGAACTGGTTAATGTGGGGAGGAGAAGGAGTTTGAGTGGTTTTCCAACTGGTTGACATTCATGGAGTCTGCAACTGTCCAAGAGTATGGGCTATATGTCCTCTCATAGAGTAGCGAAATGGTGCAGTGACCCTGAGGATGGAAGAGCAAGAGAGGAAAGCACACATGCTGGCCAAGCATCTGACTAAAGGTGGCCATATGTGAAAGTTTAGTAAGGAATCTTCTCAATGACCTTTATTAGCCCAGTGTCTCTAGGCAAGGAGTGGAGAAGACTTCCACCAGTCATACCCAGTAGTGTTATTTTCTCTCTTGTTCTGGATTGTCAGTGTGGCCTTTTTTATGTTTACCCTGTGTTTAGAGCAGTGGGCTCCTGGTCTTGTTTGGGGATGTAGGTCTTTTTGTAGTGCAGTTAACGATAATGGATCTGCGGTCAAATCTGCTAATAGCTCTTCTTTCAAACATCTCATAATACTATGTAAAGGTTAGGTTTTTCTAATGACTCCTCTGCTTTTCTGAGTGTGTTATGTTTCAAGTTCTGTATTGCCTGGTCTTAAGCCTAGATGTCTCTTTTCAGGTGTGTATTTTGTTGGCTGAACTGGGCCACATGTAACAAATCTAGTGGCAGCGCTACTTGATATCATGAACAATAGACTTCAGTTAATTATCATCTCAGAATTGATAGCCAAACACTAAAATTTCATATCAGATTTAATATCATTAACTGTTTTCCAACATGTCCATTTAATTAGTTAGTATAATGATGTTATCAAAGAAGTGGTGCCTTAATTTTGTTTTCAGCAATTAAGGACTTCCTCAATAATCTTTCCTTAACAATCCAATGATGAAGGTACTCTGATTATCTTAGTTATAATTGTATTACTTGGGATGGAGATGAACTTTCAATATCTGTGCCTGTCTGTTTATCCACAGGTTTCAAAGAGTGGTCAGCTAGAGTCATTGTTATGTCTTTATGGAGTATCTATCTAAAATATTTAAAATCATATCAAGTGGGAGGAATTTATCTTTACAGCTAAGTTGCCACTGATGTAAGAAAACATGGATTATTCTGATTGGAATGAATTATTTGTACACTTCAGCATGAGATTATGTTGTTGCTCTACTTATGATCAAATCTAAGAAGAGAAAGACACTCAATGCTGGATATTAAAAATGACAAAATTCACATATTCTTTCAAGATTAAAAGCACTTGTTTTGTGTAGTCAGCTTGCTACATTGTGGTTTCTCAAACCTGTGGGAATACAGGATTTTTTTCTTGGTGAGATATATAGGATCATATTTAATTTATTGTCTGGGTGCAAGCAGGTTGTAGTTTAACTGAATGTAATCATTGTCTTTAATGATCAGTCTCGTGTACAGCACAGGAGATTTGGCAGTCTGTATCTAGTGCAAAGTGATTGTAAAATTACTGTTCTGCGATGTCCTTTCCAACATGATAAGCATATGGCTGCCATCCGAGCAATGCTGATTTTTTTCAGACATGAGTGAAGCAAGACAGAGGCAAGGGAGATATTATCAGCAAGCAGGGCAGCTTGCTTTCCACTGTGCAGAAAAGGTTTTCTCACCTTCGTCAGTTGTCTGTAAACTACTATAGGCTAATGGAATATTTAGTAATATAACTATGTGTCTCTTTTTTCCTCTGGAGTTGCTGGCTTTTCACTTTTCTCCCTGTAGCTGTTTTCATTTAGGACAAGAGCTGTGTCTCTGTGCAGGACCTGTTGCACTCGAGCAAGAAGTGAAGAGTCGCCTGTACCTAGCGTGAAGGTTCCAAAACAAAGCACAAGTTGTATAGTTTTGTAGTATAGTTGCAGCATGATCCCAGTATTTCTAATAGTGAATTATTACAAACCTTCTTGATAATGCTTGTATATACTTTTTGTGGAATTGGCCGCTTCATCCAAATAATTGTCATTTGGCATGTTGGGCATAGACACAATTGCTGACTTGTCAATTTTTTTGAGGTATTTTATCATTTTAGATGCTAGAAATAATTTGGAAGACCAAAAAAAAGTGCAAGACCTTTTCACATAGTTTAGCATTCATTCTACTGGCCTGCTGAGGTTTTTTGAGGTATTTTATCATTTTAGATGCTAGAAATAATTTGGAAGACCAAAAAAAAGTGCAAGACCTTTTCACATAGTTTAGCATTCATTCTACTGGCCTGCTGAGGTTTTG